AATTTTGTTTATTTAGTTTAGAGGATGGAACATCCGAGATGGACCAGTAGGTACCGTGTTGTCCCAAAACGTTATGTTATCATAATATAAAGTGCATGGATACTATTACTACTAGTTTTTTTTTTTTCAGTTGACACCGTTGTTGTGGATATAATATATAAACGATGGTTATACACCTACTGCTCAACAGATTATATACACAATGGGTGACCATGTGCTCATAATGTTTTATTCAAATTATTTTTACATCACCTAGGACTCATAGGGCTTAGTGGCATAATAGGTAAAGGTATTAATTTCGAGATCCTGGGTTTAGGCATTCAAATATAACTCGTGACAATTTTCTTGTCTTGAGTAATCTTTTCTTTATGTGTTTCTCTTTTGAGGTGAAATGTTTGAAATTCTTCCCTTTTTTTAACATGAGTAACACTAACAGTATAGAAATATTAATTGTTGTGTACACTTGCCTGATTGTGCAAAGAATCATCATTGATAGGCTTATTCTCTACACCATTTAGGCTTAGTCATATTCTGTTAGCATACAGTAGGTTATGATAAGCAAGGTCTGATAACTTTAGGTTAGGTTTGGTTAGTTTTTCTAGTTGCAATTAGTAAAACATAATGCTCCAGAATGGTCATTTATATTGTAAAAACTAAATGTACTTTCATGATGGTCATTGTAGTAATTTTTATTTGAATATATAAACAATCAGGCCTGTACGCAGAATGTTTGACAGAAGGTTTCTAATTAGTGAGACAAAAAGCCAACACATGTTGTGCAAAGCACAATTAGCATGCTAGTGCTATGGGGGTCTGGGGGCATGCCTCCCCAAAAAATTTGTAAAACATAGGTACAATGAGATTTTCCTGGAAGTAGTTTTGCATGAAATATAGCTTAAACAGTTACATGGCTGTTCACATAAAATCCGCAAACATCCAATAAAAAATAAACAAATCATCATTCTGTTGTAACACTGCATGGGGAGCTAGACATAAATTAGCATAAATATGTATGTTTTATTATAGTAAAATACTGTACGATCTACATGCAGAGTAGTTATTTATTATTAAATTATATCACTAATTTAGACAACTCCGTACAACGATAGTATATTAGCTATTTCAATTATTGGCTATAATATACGTACCTGTATGCATTACTCAAATAACATGTTAACGTGCTCCATTCTTCTGGGGTTTGTTTCCATAAATAACTTGCATACAGTTTCAATGTTGATGGCAGTGTCATAATGATTATATATTAAAGGCCAGAGCACTCAGTCTTTCTTCGGTTTGTGTACACCTCGGGACATTATTCAACTGGCAGAGAGCAGATATTGAACATTCACACTAACACGAACTTACTGGTAATATTTTTTTACATCACAAAAATAGGGGGTTTAGATGATGATGACCCTCTCCCCATCCCCCGCGTATGTGCGTCATGTAACAATTGTTATGCAGCTGATGTTCAGAAGACTATATACATGATAGCCTGCAGTTGGCATTAGATAACCTATTTAACAAACTGCATATATATAAAATCAATGTTTTTTGCTGATTTTCACCATAGAAATGTAAGAAATGTACAACCCTAAAACATCAAATTTGTTATTTTTCTTTAATTGAAAACTCAACATTGTGCTCTTCAGGAGTGTTCCACTAAAACACATAACTGTAACACATTTGGAGTTTTTTGTTTCTAATATTAAAATTTACACTACAGAAATTAAGTAATGGGTTTTTCACCGTAGGTTTGATGTTTATGTATGCATCTGGCTTCATTTGGTTAGTCAGAATTCAGTGGCTAATTACAAGAATTAGGTAGTTTGTTATCGTAACATATACTATCGTTGGGTGTATTATTTGGTAAAACTAATGTCGAGCCCAGTCAAAGTAACAATAAATTGTTAATTTCTTCAGTACGAGAATAATGTTTGTTACAGGCAAGGTTTACTTGTAGAGTTAAATTCAAATACAACAGTAAATAATGCTCAACAGATCTTTCTAAGCCTAACGTATGCCTACCTAACTCACAAATAAACTCACTTGTAGAATTTCAGACACAAATGTACTAACCCTCATTGTCTAACAATAACTCTCACTAACTGGCACTGAACTAAATTATTAACTTACTGCTTCGCTCATTGCTTCACTTTACTGGTACTCATATTGTCCTTGTTTTCTACTTACTACATGAAATTCCTAGATTATTACATTATCATCAAGAGATAATGATGTGCTCTTTCTCTCTCTCTCTCTCTAACAAACCACCATCTAAATCAAAATATTAAAAATATAGCTTATAACAGTATTTGTTCTTCATTTCATTAGTCAGAGTTCGCTAGCTAATTACATAACATAAAATTCAAGGACTACAAATGACCTGTTGGTCCATCTAGTCCATCCTATTCACAAAACTAAACTATAATAAAAAACTTAATTCCAGCCTTTATCATTTCAATATGTATTAAGCCTTTCCTTAAATTCCCATAAATGTACTGTATCCAACATATCAGGAGGCAACACATTCTAAAGGCTGACCACCATGTTAGAAAAATGAAACTTAGCTAAAAATGACTCCTACCAAACTAAAATTTATACTCGTCTCTCTTGTACCTGAAGAAGACAGACCAATGTTCTGTTAGAACATGTCCCCAAGAAAATAAATCACTTCATTATGTTTATAAGTCATTGTTTGCGAACTTATTATTATATTAGTGTGACATACTTCCATACTCAAATCCTTCATAAGGTAAGGAGCCCAAGACTGAACGCAATACTCCAGGTGTGATCTAACCAGTGACCTATACAATCAAATTATAACTGCTTTAGACTTGTAGTCATTATTTCTGTAGATATAACCAAAAAGGCTATCTGTCCTACCATTAGTACAGCAGATTGCTTAGAGGAATTAAGAAAGTGATCAACCAGAATGATAAGATCCTTTTCTTTCATAACACTGTTAAGGTCACTCTCATTAAAGTTATAATTTAAGTTATGACAACTCACATTCACTATCATGCATATATTGTAATTAAAAGCCACCTGTCATTTATCACCCAAATCACCAAAAATCTTTTTGTAAAGTAACAGACAACAAACATCCAAGATCTTAATATCATCGGCAAATTTCTTTATCCATGTCATTAATGTAAATCAAAAAGAACAACAGCTCTATCACTGAGCCCCTTTATTTACCACACTTGTGACATTAATTCAGTTTGACTGGACTACCTTTATAACAACCCTCTGATCATTTTATAACAAGCCTTTTATGTGGCACCTTGTCACGTACTTTCAAAAATCCATGTACATCAAATTCTTACCCCTTTCTCTCATCTATGTAAGCAGTAATCTCTTCAAAGAATTGTCCAAAGATTAGTAAGGTGGATCTTCTCTTAGTGAAACTGTGTTGACCATCTAACAAAATTTATAATTTTGTTGTTGACTTTTTGAAACATCTCTTCTCAGACTTTCAAAACCTTTTCCTTCTACCAATATTACACTAATAGACCAATAATTACTGGAACAATTTTTATCAGCTCCCTTATAAAAGGGGAGTAACAGGGGTCTTATCATTTTTTTGAACTTCTGAAGTTTTTTAGTTGGCAGTACATTTATAGATTACCAGGAATGAAATATAAGTCTAATTAATTGAAAATATGTCAAGGTTGATCTCAGAATTTAATAACAATAACTTGCATGAACTGAAAATAAGTTTTAAGTATAACATCATGCAAAGTATTACTTGGTAATTACTAATAACTTTTAAATATAAATATAGAATAGTGTATAATATGTGATCCAGACTGATAATTGGTGTTTATTGCTAATGATAATTGATCTTCTCCTACTGTAAGTTTTTTTTTTGTTTTTTTCACAGATTATTCTAATTTTAGGCTAATATTTATTCATTTAAATGTCATTTGTTTATCTTATAATACGTGTATTTCACTAAAGATGTGATATCCATTATTACCTCCACCATTGAAGGTGGACAGATGTTATGTTTTCACTCCTGTGTATGTGTGCTTGTCATGAAGATTTCTCAAAAATGGCTGAATGCATTTAGACGAAAGTTGGTATACATTTGGCTTAGCAGTGATTAGTTTTTAGAAGGTAATAGTAATGAAAATCTAAAAACTCCCTGTCTGTTAACATAGGGGGGGGGGGCAATGTTTTGCACAATTTTTGCTCTATAACTTTGATGAAACTTGATGGACGTATGGAGAATGTTATTCATCGTTGTGCTACCAAACATGGTCCATATCCATTGATAACGTCAGATATATGGACACATTTTTGTATTTTTTGAGGGCTGAATATGATCAACACTGAGTGATGGAGGTACGCACTCTACCGAGTGCCCCTCTAGAAAAAATCCCTCTTCTTCCGAGCCTTTTACTCTGTAAATATATCAAGCACCGCGTTAAGTCCACATTTGGTTTTTGTTCCTATCTCGAGACACTGTACTCTCTTGTTGGCTTCTGGGTAGTTCCAAAGTTTGCTGCTCTAGCCTTGTTAATTGTTGAGCCTTTCACGAATTGCATCTGTGTATCAGACGGGTCTCTGAGCTCCAAACGTGTTAATTTATATATATATATATATATATATTACGAGCAGGCCTATACGATTTAGTACTGAGTATCAATATGCAGGCCTCTGAGTCTTAAATGTGTTAATTTTGGGTTTCTTATGAGTGAGCCTATACGTGTTGCAACTGAATATCAGTATATGGACTTTTACTCTTATACACCTCACAAGTGGACCTTTTCATGTGCTGGAACTGAGTTGCAAGCTGTCCTTCCCATATGTACACCACCGATAAAAAAAATATCCATAACTTTCTTTAACTGCCATTTTTAAATATATTATTTTACAAGAATAATATTTACCTCTGCCACCAAAGGTGGATGGAGGTTATATTTTCACCCCTGTGCATGTTTGTCAGCAAGATTTCTTGAAAATGGTGGAATGGATTTGGGAAAAAGTTGGTATACATTTGGACTATGACCCAACTTAGAAGTGGTTAGTTTTTGGAGGGTCAAAGTCACAAAAATTAAAAAAAAAACCTATCTGTTAACATGGGGACTGATTTTTCACACTATTTTTGCTCTGTAATTCAGTCATAAGTTATCAAATTTTGATGAATCTTGATGGACTTGTGTAAGATATCATTTTTCCTTGCCCTACTGAAAATGGTCCGTGTCCACTTATAACGACAGACATACATACAGAGACATTTTTGTATTTTTTGAGAGCTGAGTGTCGGAGGTATGTGCTCCACTGAGTGCCCCTCTAGTTTAATGTGTTTTTGTTTTTTTTCAGAAATTATTAAAATTATCAAAGTGGTTTGATACAATCTTTAACCATGATATGAAAAATTGGGCTTTCTGATAAACTTTCATATAACAGTAATTTAAATTAAAAATTACAATCAAGTCTATCCTCAGAAATGTGGTTTTACTAGCACTGGTCTGAGGCTTTACATCTACTTAGAATTCTCATCTTTTGTTTATTAACTTTGTTAAGAGTAAATATGTGCCTTACTTTAAATATTATCATTATCTTTAATTGATGCAAGCACCTTATGTATTAGGCTAAAAGATATTTAGGAATCACAGTATTTCACATTAATCCACTTCAAATTGAGATATACACCTGAAAGTAATTGTTTGTTTATGCAGTGATATTTTTCCCTTTCAGGTCCAGTCTTTGGGAAGTGTAATGGACATTTATGAAGTTTCACGAAGAGCGAGCTGCACTACAGTATAACCTTTAAAGCACCGTTATTCTTATGTTGGGATTTTATACTATAAATATCATGATATCAAGCTTTCATAGTAAAAAGTTTCTTTCTAGAGTGGCACGCCTTTTGTTTTTTTTTACTGTCATCATTGTCTTAATCATGTTTCTATATAAAAACTTAAAAAATGGAAATCCTGTGATAGAGAATAATTTAAGTCAGCGGGGAAAACTGTATCAGCAAAGCGAAGGTAAAACATATAAATTATTTCCGACTACTGGAGAGAAAGAAAGTACTAAATATGTTTCAGAAAAGGTTAGAAGAAATTATGCTGATACCAAGAGCTCGAAGTTAATCGTGAAACCTTCAGTGAGGTAACAAAATATTTTGTGTTACACATTTTTATAGATGTTGGTTTCTGTTTATAAGGCAGGTGTTTATTTATATCTAAAGTATTTCAGTATTTTCTCATTATTATTATTGTGGGTGTTCACCAACTTATCAATATTGTGTCTATAACATTACGTGTATCACGAGTGACTTTAATTGAAGTTATCAAGAAAAGGAGTAATATACAAAAGATGAGTGACAACAAAAGGCCCTTTGTCTCATCGTGGCTCTTTCATTTATTTGATGAAACACTCATCTGCCCGTTTTCAATCCTTCACTTGAACCGTTCCAATTATTTCGTGTCTACCACACCTGAAGGCAATCCATTCCAAAAGCTGAAAATCCGTTAAGTCATCCTATTATTTGCATACACGTCAGGATGACAGGTTTTACCTTCAACATATGGGTTCTTCTATGCAAAGTTACAGCTTAAAAACATAATGCTGTAAAACATCAGTCACAAAGTAAGAATGATGTAATCCATAGACCCAATTGATAGTTATATATGTCGTGTGTAAACCTAAAACCTTTCATTATTTTACTTCCATTTTGTGTACTATATGGCAAAGATTGCCAGATTTTTTTGAGATCCCAAGTAGATATTGAGTTAACTTAATATCAGTTATGTAAATATTACACCTGGAATACTCGTGTCTGAGTTTATTTTTGCTTTGAATAATTGAGAGTGTAATGAAAGTGATGGGTAAGACAAAAGCAGTCTTATTTACACGTGTTTAAGAGAATACAGTTATTTCATCATCAATAACATCTGAAAACAAGGTGTTTGAAGATAATTTAGTACAGATGAGACAATTTAAATGATATTTGAATTTCTTAGGTTTAAAACAATCAAAAGAATGGGAGCTGAGTATACATACACAAAGTATACTAGAAAGTACTGTCGAACCGTTAATTTTGTTACGAAAAGAACAAGTACAAAAAAAAATACATTTATACATAAGGTTACACAAGACAGAAGTCAAATACTAATATACTATTCCGAATTTAAGAATACAATAAATATTGAGTAATGTAAATTTGTTCGTATGCAAATTTAAACAGTTTTAATTGAAGGATGTCTATTGAATAGACTATTTAGAGCAAGGTATCTTAATAAAAAAGTGGCTTTCTTTTCAGGATCTTTTTGTGGATCTATTTATAGTTATTGCAAAGCTTTTAATGGATATGTTATTAATTATGGGTTTTGATGGAGATTAAGGATTGAATATGTGAGCCACTTACTACTATTTTTTTTTGTAAGTTCTTGAACAGTAGGCAGGTGCCAGAGTATTGGAAGGTGTCTAATGTTACGACTTTTTTTTTCAAGGGTGGGGATAAGAATTGTCTCAGTAATTATAGGCCTATTAGTCTTACATCAATTGTGGGAAAAGGTTTAGAAAGTCAGATGTAAGGTGCTTTGTGACTTTTATCTGACTTTCTAAAACTGTTTACTGTTTTATTGGATAGTCAACATGGTTTCATTAAGGGAAAATCATGCCTTACAAATGTTTTGACATTCTTTGAAAAGGTTACTGGTTATGTAGATGAGGGTAAGGC